TTGAAAAAGCTCAAAACTACCTCTGAGATATAGTCGTAGCTATCTGCAAAAAAATTTTCAGCCCAATCGGACAAATTTTGATGAGGGTTTCCCATGGCAAGATGAGGATCTATGGAAAACCATGGTTTTCCAAAAAAACCATGAAAACCCTCTTGAAAAAATTTTTCCTCGAAGACGTGTCTCATTATTTTAGGTGCTCTATCTGTGGTAAAAATTTCAATCCGATCGGTTGAACCGTCTTTGAGATCTAAAAATCATGAAAAAGAGGGGGGGGGTACCCTTAAGTAGATGATCAGTTGAAACAGTATATATCAATATTGATTTTGAGTAAATCTGTGAAAAAGAAGAAAGTAATTGGGCAACGTGTGACATTTTTCGATCTTATGAAAATATATATCAATTAAGTGACTTATTTGTGGTTACCAGCGAAGGGTTTTTGGCTGTTAATCAACCAATTGCACGGGATAAAAGTTAATACGTCATTGAAGTTGGTCCTGTTTGACATTTATAACAGTCTGTTTCGTGTGTTTAAATCTGTCGATTGAGGAAAGATATGCATGGATAGGCATCAGTCTAAAACTGGTACCTGGCATCAACATGTCATATGCTACTATTACTATTATGCAAAAATGATACTTTTAACCTTGTATTGTTTCAGGAATTTTGAAATGTGCAATATCTAACCTCTGTTATCCAAAGACAATCATTTTGAAGAGACATATGTGAATGATGTCCTAGCTCTTGTGGGACACCAACATCGAGACCCACACCCATAGGCACAGTCACACCACACCCACACCACTCATAGCCCATACCCACAGCTACAACCACACACCCACGGCCACAGGCACACCCCACACTCACACCCAAACACTCTACACGCACACCACCCATACCCCACACCCACACCACCCATACCGCACCCACACCCACACCACTCACAGCCCATACCCACAGCCACACACCCACGGCCACAGGCACACCCCACACCCACACCCAAACACACCACACGCACACCACCCATACCCCACACCCACACCACCCATACCGCACACACACCCACACCCTACACCTACACCCACAGCCACACCCTCACACCCACACTCACACCCATACACCACCCCACACTCATACACCACCCCATACCCACACCCACACCCACACCCTAATCTATAACCATATAGCCCAACATAAGGCTGAGGCCAGAACGCAGTTCTGTGACGGAATTCCCGAGAATTGGGTCGAAGCGAAATTGGACGGAATTCCGGAATCATAGGCACTGGTTCCCGACTGGAATCATAGGCACTGGTTCCCGACTGGAATCATAGGCACTGGTTCCCGACTGGAATCATAGGCACTGGTTCCCGACTGGAATCATAGGCACTGGTTCCCGACCGGAATCAGTTCCCGGAATTCCGTGGAATTGCTAGGACTTCCGTCCAATTCCACGTCGACCTAATTCCCGCAATTCCGTCACGGAATTGCTGACTTATTTCAACGATTAATCTATAACCATACAGCCCAACATGAGGGTGATGGCAGAGCCTAATTCCATGACGGAATTTCGGGAATTAGGTTGAAGTGGAATTGGATGGAATTCCGGTATTGCAGGAACTGGTTCCCGACCGGAATCAGTTCCAGAAATTCCGGGAATTGAGGGAACGCGATCCTTGTCGAATATGTCCAATTTGTCGATTGATGTTCGAGTTCCCGGAATTGTACGGAACTGATTCCGGGGACGGAACTAATTTCGCAATGTTCAACATCGCGAAATAGGATGTATTCTCATTCTAGTAATACTCTATAATCAGATCTTCTTATAGATAGTCAATAAAGTTTACGTCTGTTAACCATTGCATATTTTTGGACGATATCAGCTCCTGCATATCATATAGCAATAAAGATAACTATTTATAGTTCCTACGAACTGATTTTTCATTTTAAATATGAATTTTTTCTTGTTTACAATCAATCGTTTTGTGTTATGTACCTTGACTGTTTTACTGTTGCTATGGGCAGTCCTTTCAAATAGAGTGCGTGATTGAAAAGAATTGAACAGGAAAGACAAAAAAAAAGGCAAAAACAGCTAGAAATGCAGCGTAAAATGTTGCCATGATGCAAAAATAACAAACGAATTATTCGACACACAACAAATTCGTCTTACATACACAATACTTGACGACGTTGGAAGATATTATCGCAGAAAATTACTCGGTATAGTTGCCTACGATTACTTGATTTTGATGAGTACCTTATTTAAAAGATTTCTAGGAACAGAAAGAGTATTTTAAACGTCATAAACAGAGCTAATATTTGATTGGATACTGATTAGAAAGAATTTCGATACATATGAAATTGATACCCATGAACAACTTCCGTTCACCCGATCAATTGATAATTGCTTATCAAACAGCAACCTAATGAATTTACTTTGTTGCATCCATCACACACAAATTCAATGATTGGACGAGTTTCTATTTTGTAATTTTCGTTTTCGCCGAACTCTTTTTGCTGACAATGTGCTTCGTTGACCCCAATGTCGTCGAATCAATTCACAACTGACAACAAGTCTGAATCAGATAGGGTGAAGATGTGGGTGAGTGTGGATTTAGGTGTGGGCGTGGATGTTTTCTTCTTCGCACTGACACGAAACGTCACACTCATACCCTACCAACTCAGATGGTAGCCAATCGGTTTTTTAATAAAGTAGTTAATTATAGTAAAATATTATATATACAATGGACCATACTTGATCCAGACGTATTTTCGGTTATGAATTGATTTAACTACATTGAAGTCGGTGAAGCACATCATTGACAGAAAGAAAATTCGGCGACATTGGACTAATTCTTCTATTCTACGAAGTTGTCACTATTTTACATGCTTAGTTTGCTTCCTTTTTATCCCATTCTATTCATCACCTTCCGTCAGTCCAGAGACTAGAATCAAGCTATTAGAATAATATGACAGAGGAATTTCATGAGACGGAATAAACATAGCATGACGACACTGCGGGGTGTGGGTGTGAATAAACAAAAAAGAAAAACCCACACCCACACCCACCACACCCACACACCCACACCCACACCCACACCCACCACACTCACACCCACACACCCACCCACCCCACCCACACCCACACTCACACCCACACCCACACCCACCCACACCCTTTTTTTAATACTGATTGGTGAACCATTGGGATACTGTATAACCTTTCTTTTCATATTGTTGATGAATCTTTATGGACAAATTATTGTTTACTTTATCATAATGTTGGTTTATTCAAAAAAAGTATTAATGACAAGTGAGGTACACAGATAATACTAGTAATATAGTAACACAACAATATGCATAAAAAATGGCTTTGAGTTTATACAAAAAAACGAACTTGAGTAGAACAAAAAGTGTTTAAATGTATATGAATATTCTTTTGTCACTATCATCAAATAAGATCATATAATTTACATATTGTGTTTGTACTGATTGTGCAACAATTATATTGTTCCCGGTTGTGTGCAGCATTGAAGGTGTTCGATTTGGTGTATCTATAAAGCAAATAGAAAAGAAGGTATCGATGAACCAATGAAAAAAATTAATTACATTTTACCTGTGCTAGGATTGGAACGTAAGATTTTCTGTTGGTTTCTTCGTTTACTTAAAATCGAATCATGAATAGGTGGCCAAACGATCGACATATCTTCAGCTGTATATTGAAACTTACACTTGATTGCATCTGAAATAGTAACAACAAGACATACGATCAATGAAAGTCTTCCCTAGAACACTCCTTACTATATATTGCTATTATTCTCGGGTCTTCATCTGCTTTTTTAACATTAATGTCTTGAAACTCTTGTTTATTCATAAATAATGCATCAATCAATTTTAACGCATATTTTACCGGATGTTGTTTAGTACCTTGTATTTTTAACAAGTCAATAACAGTACCATCGCTTCGAGAATATGTCTACAGGAAAAGAAAGAGACATGTTTGCGCAAATGATTTGTTCCTGAGACCTAGTGACGAGAGTTAATATTACTGAAACTAAATTGGCAAGCTCAAATTATCGTTCTTGTTTATTTGTCAAATTTTCTTGGTTAAAAAACTACTCAGCAACGATATTCAAATGGTGATATTGATGACCTCTAGAATAGGCTAAAAACCTCGTGCGCTTAAATTTCTAAAAGGTAGTCTTTACATTTCTATTATAAAAGAAGTCTTGCTTTCCACGAACAACAGCCAAGATACATATTGTGTTTCAGTAGTTCTTCGCTTTTGAATAATTATTTTAAAATTGTTCTGCATCTCATTTTATAATAACTTGATTGACTATATTTTTCACTCAAGTTCCATTGGAAAGTACAAATTACTCTAGGTAATAACGTACAGTTCCAAAAATTTCAACTAAAGCCATAGGTTACACTTCTATTAAGTCTTCAATATAATATCATAGTACAGCTTATTATACCAAATGAAATTCTAGTAAGATCAATCATTATGAAAAAACTCGCACATCGTTTTGCTCAGATTTTAAATATATTTTCATTGATGTTCTTAATATGAAAATAAAAAATAACTACTTTGTTCATGATTAATATCAACCAACTGTAACTAATAGTTAAACGTTAAAAGTTTGCAATTTCATCAGATTGATGGTCTCTTTCATAAACGTGATAGTTATCTCAACAAGTCGAACGGTATCTATGTATATTGATATAAAATTGGAACATTATTATAGGTCCGAATAAGATCGTTACAAACTGCCTAGATGTAACGATGCGACATTTTGAAAAAAAAGAAAAAATAATTTTTTTTACAACGTTGGCTTTCGAAAACCATTCTTTTGGACATTATCATACAGGTAAAAGGTCTTTTTTGCATATATATACGCGAGATCAGAAAGGTTTACTTTATATTACTGGAGAATAAAAAAATAAAAATAAATTAATTTACATTACCGAAATTGGAATCAACACTCCTAATAGAAAAAAGAACACTAAACACAAATAAAAATGGTATTACCTTCAGTGGTCCAATTGGTGCAAGCATAATATCCATTAAAGTTTATTGTTTTTGTAAATAATGACTTCGCTGGTAAATCTGATATGAAGAATTGAGTTTTAACAAATACTTTAAATTCATTTTCATTGACAAATATCGAGGTACCATTTTGATTTAAATCAATTAATTGTTCAATTATATCTTGCAAAAATACATTTACATCTGGTTTAATACAAGATATCCAAAAACCTAAAGTAAGAATGTTGGTCTGAAATTCTCTAACTGGAGGTGGTAACTCTACTATTGAGCTAAAACATGGCCATAACGATGATTTTGTGGAACGCACCAATGGCGCCCCATCAACATGAATGTTTAAGGTGATTGGATGAACAACTTTTTCAGTAATAACTTGAAAACGATTACCACTCGATATATCAAATGCAGGAAATAATTCTTGACATTCAGTAAAAAAAGAAATATTTCGGTGGATAATACATTGTAGTTTTTCTCTAATGTTTACTGTAACGACTTCTGTTAATTGTCGTTTCGATAATTTTTGACTTGCTAATGAACAATAGGAATTGGTACAAAATTGTTGCCCACCTTTTA